TCATCGAGGYGACTAGGTTGCTATGGTAAAGTATTTGTATTAATATTATGTTGCTAGGAGTGAGCTAGGTAACGCGAAATTATAACGTTTTAACGTTAATTTTATCATTTTAATTTTTGGTTACCATAGCGACTGAAGCAAATATAGGCCTCAAAAAATCAGCCAGCAAAAAAAATTGCATCAAACCCAAAAAAATGTAATATACGTTTAATAAAACATAATTCATATAAATATTATATTTTTTTACCATTCAATTTGGATGTTGTCATTATGTTTTGAAATCATGTACGGGACCTGTAATAAGATGAAAAAGTTTGAATAAGCATCTCTATTGTACCTTTTGTACCATCTACATTTAATAATATATTTGACCCAATTCTCAAATTATGGATGAGGGACGAGGGTGCGCAGAAAGAGCTCCTCTTCTATTTTATATTTTGAGAACAACTGTATCTAATTAATTTTATTGAGTGGGGGATGAGGTGGCGGTTCGTTGTTTTTTAAAAAAAATATTTTTTCAACATATCATATTATTGATGTTTATTTCATCAACTTTTTTTTTGCAAGATTTTAATAAATAAGATATTCAAATTCAACGTGGTGAAATACTTATTATTTATTATTATGATAACAAGACTCAGAATATTTTTTCTGTATTTGTCATTCAATTCAGGTCAACCTTCAATTTAAAGGTCAATATAMTTTCGGTTAGGTATTTAAAGACATGTAGAACACAATTAAATATTATTCAAAACAATATAGGACAGACAAATCCGATATTCATTATTATAGATAAGTTATAAATGTTATAATATGGTTTTTGTGAGTTTATAGATCTTAAAATCTACAATATATTTGACATATTTTGTATTATCTGCATTTTTGGTCCTGAGAATTTTCCAAACTTTTGAATGAAGATCTCTTCATCTTATTTATAGCTACTACTAGTCAAGAAGAATTAAAAATTAAAAAAGTTTTTGTACAAACTTTTAAATTTGAATATTATGTTATACAGACGATGGGGAATGGTCACTTTGTCAGTAATACGAAATTACTTTATACTTTATAGGTGAATTATGCTATAATTCTTTTTTTTTTTACTTTTATTCCTGTTCTTATCAACCATTTGGAAAATGTTAAAGAAAATTATAGGAAATACCTCCTAGCGAGTATAGTAGACAATATTAAATTATAAAGTAAATAAATAGTTAACATACTAAATTGAATATGGTTTACTTTATACGAGTGAGTTAAAAGGCAACTTTTAATGTAGTTTTTTTATTCATGTTTGGTTCTAGTTCTAGATTTTCGGCATATTTAAAATATTTTTGTTTTTTTTAATCTATATATTGGTTATATTTTGTTTTTTATCACGGAAAATATGATTATATTTTTAACTTAATCAAGCACACTTATCTATATTTATCTGCACGCTACGAGTAATTCACACTATTTTTCATCATGACCCATTATATTGCATGTTTTTCAATCGACATAATATTTTTTCGTCACTTTTTTTAATTTACAAAAAATATTTTAAGTCTGTATTGTTATCGAATAACATCATGCAACTATATGCAAGTGTCTATCATTATCATACCATGTCCGTTTGTGCATTATACAATAATATTTATTCTATTATTTTCTATTAGATAAATTATTYATGTATATTATATTACACATAAAAAGTTAACGAGGACAAGACCTTGCGTTGTACATAATAGATGTGTCCAAATAACATATTAAACTACTGGTAAAAAAATAATCCGAAAAAAATATGCACATTGGCATATTGCATTGAAAACAAAATTGTCAGAAAGAGTTTAATACGAGATAATTATCCATAATATCTGTATATTTTGATAAAAATATACAGTGCAAACAGTGATATAGACGATGTAGCTTACGTATTATATACAAATTTAAATATTTTACAAAGTTTTGCAGAACTTTACAGGTTTCCTGATGAAATATATTTCTCATGTTCGAACTTATTTCCCCGAGAATTCACATTATTCATGCGATATACTCTTGAAAAATTATATTGTTATATATTTATAAGTAAAATAGTTTTTTTATAAAGATCTAAAATATTTTAAAAATTTCATGTATCTACTGTAATTTGTTATAGAGTTACACCAATATCTAAATTCGGTTTTTTCAAAAAATTAATTTGACTAAAAATTCCTGTTTTTCTCAATTTGTTTTGGGTTTTCCCAGTATTGTTGAAAACTCATGGGATTTCAAAATTTTACCTCCCCAAAGCACCAACYAAATTGACTTTTCAACTGGAAAAGCTACAGAAGTTTAAAATCGAAACATTATTTCGACAACTTATCGTGCACACACAGACACACAAAAAAAAAACAACAACATTGTAAAATCAATATATTAATTCTAAAATTAATAATATACAATAAGTCAATATAAAACAGGTGGTAGTTCCTATAATTAGTCAATAAAAATAATGTATAGTGATATAATTAGTAAGTAAAAAATTATTTGTTATATTGTTATAATATTGTTTAGGTTTATATTTTTTAGCAAAAATGTTTGGTACCACCTATATTATTACATGTCCGTGGGTTTATATGCCCAAAAATTAATAAAATAAAATATTAATGTTATCTTCGGCATTATAAATTACTTTGAAACTACGTGGAATGTAAATTAATACGTGCTAACAACTATATTTTTGTAAAGACATTTGGAATTGTTTTGACAATCTCCGTGATGATTTACCAAAGACAAACAGCATTTCGGCAATATTAATGGTCTGCATAGTATACCTACTTATCTTTTAATATTCATATTAATCAATTTTATAAAACCAATAATTTGGAAATATATAAATCAAAATGGAAAAATTATAAATCCATTATACAAAAATACAAAAACTAGTCGGTTATGCRCTACCAGATACGCAATTAGRAGCTAATTTCGGGGAGGGRATGTTATAGCAATATTTAACAATCATCCGCGATTCACYCAATGTCATACTTATAAAGTTATAACAATATATCGTTTTTAATTTTAGTTTATATAAATAATATTATGTATTTAAAATATAGAGTGATTCACTAAGCCTGTTCACTCCCATTTATTTTTAAATAATGAATTAGTTCAAATTCTGATTTTCGGAATTTTAAACCAGTGATACTAGTTTAAAAAAATTAATTTTTACCATTCCTTAAAAGATAAAAAATATAAAAATACGGTCTTTAAGTGTAGATACTTAAAAATTCTGAAAATCAAAACTTAAATAAATGCCTTATTAAAGGATAAAAGCCAAAAGGCGAGTGAGCATGCTTGACGAATCTTCCTGTGTATATATATTTCTAACAAGACACAAAACATTTCAATATTATCTAGAGGTACATACTACATATATAGTTATTCCCAAACAGTAAATCATACTGTCACGCACACACCACTTTACATTTTTCCCGTGGTTAACTATATCGTGTATTATTTATCTATCTGAGGCTTGATTCAATGATTGTGTTTCAATTTTGATTTTGAATTAGCCAAGTATATTTATAAAAAATCAAATTTATTTACCTATTTGTATATACGAGTATTATATCATTAAGTTTTTTATTTTATCTTTTTGAATTAAAAAACAGCCCGTGACAATAAACATTATAGCTGTACTCGCTATAATAGCGTGTTTTGAATTTTTAATATTTACATACATAATAATTTTAAGTTATTGTTAATGATTAATTATATTATTACCTACAAGAGAATAAAATTGTTTTTTTACATGCAATGAATTTAGGTACTGCGAACGTGTGAGAATTTACTATATAGTATATACATATAGCGTGTTTTTATTGGTAGGTACATGAAATGAACACAATCAATCGTAAATAATCATGAAGGTGACGGCAAGGCATTGAAAGTTTTRTTTATTTAAGTACTTTAAATCGACTGTTATGGAAACGAGATTCTGACTTGTATATCGGTACTGCAATATGACGTGATGCGGTAACAGTGTAACACATTTTGAAACTTGAACATTTATCTAGAATTTTCAATTTTTCATTGCACCGGTATTTCAGGTATATCAGGTTTTCTAAAATGAACATGGTCATTTTTCTAATGTGTGCACACTGCGGCCGTATTATGATTTTTATACAAGAATAACAAGGAAATGTTCAAAATAAAATAAATAAATATTATATGCCTTTAGCATGTTTTCCCAATCTATTATGTTTTCAAGAACTTACTTCTAAACTATTAATTGTAATAGGATTATTTTATATAAACAAAGAATAATTTATATATTGACTTGAATAAATATTTCTGAACATAATACAATATATATATATATATATAAATGTAAATAAATAATATAGTTATATGGTATATTTTTACTTATATCGTCTGACATATAATTGAGTTTAATGTATATAACTTTCTACATTATCTACATACGAGACTACAGAGATTGCATAACATTATATTATTAAATTGGCATATTATTGCCTATATGTATAATATACGATATGATAATTGATAATACTGCAACTTAACAACTATTTAGGGTAATTGGTATTTTAGAGACATTACACAAGAATATATTATAGCAAATTAAGTGAATTTAATTTATAAACATTTAATATCACTATATTATAAATTTTAATAATATTATGGACATTCAACTTTAATATAAACCGTGAAATATGGCTGATGTATGTAGCATAATATCTTTTAATATAATATGGATCAAAACAAATTTAATCCGTTCAATATAATATAACATTGTTTAAGTTTAATTTTAATATTATGTTTTCGTCTGCATAGGACTTCGGGATCGAATTTTGACCACGCAATAATGATAATATAGTGCAGGGATGGGCAACTCAAGAAGTATAATAGAAACGAACGTAACGAAATGTCGTTGAGGGTCGCGGTGTGGGTCCGTGCGAATTTTCCATGGAAAACGGGGTGGAAGCTGCGGACGAGAGGGCGTGGTTATTGATTTTCTACAGCAATGCGCGAAAAGTGCTTCCAGCTGACGTGATATGTGAGTTGGTCTTCACTATTCGTACGAGTCTTGTGAATTTCCTATACAGTGTTTTACTAGTCTTCAAACGGCGTCAAAATGAATATTTTATTTATCCTCCCGTTACTATTGCCTCTCAGCTATTGTGAATTCGCATTAAACAGTAAGTAAAACATTGATATTATTCTCACACCCATATATGTGTGTATATATTATATAAACAAATGAGACCTGTATACTGTTAAACTTGATTCGTTTATAGACGTAAATATGTGCACAGACGACAAATACACCGGTAGTGTGATGTTTATAAACCAGTATATTATAATATAATATAGCTTATAGAGAGGATTTATAAACCATTTAAATATTTTAGAGTTCACCAATCGTTAAATCCATTACTTTGATCCTTTAACTGCTTAATTTATGTTCTGTAGCAATTATATGTTATTATTTTATTTGTGCTACTCTGCAGCCCGTCCATTGATATTCTTCCAATTTCACACGTGGTATATTTATATGCAATTAATATATTTCGTCTTATCATAACAAAGTAACATATTTAAGATTTGGGYAYTCAGATATGTATATTTACGTATTATTATGTATACTTCGATTTGTGTTGGTATGCATATAAACGAGTTTGATGATAAATTGATAACGTTAAGCCTGCAATAGTTTTAAATTTTAAGTAACGAGTGTATAATAATATATTACAGCTAATACAACTAATAATAATAATAATATTCAAGCGAAATCGATTGTCGTTCGACTCGTTCGTTACATTATTATTGAAGGGTTAGTGAAACCTTATCTCGTTACACGTTTGCCACAGAAGCATTTTTTATGCAATTTCGCTATCCGCCTAGACATTTAGCCTATTTCAAGTCAGAAAAATAATACAAATGAAATGTTTTGTTTAACAAATTGTAATTATAATGTAAATTGTTTATTCATTTTTTATACTCGTACCGATGGACAAGAATTAAAAATATTWYATATATCTACGTATTTTACATAATCATAAATAATACAAAATGTTTCATTTTTAATTCAAATAGACATTTAAGTAAATGTCTAGGTGGAAAGTGAAACTGCATAAAAATTAAATTCTTTGACTATTAGCCAAGGCATTTAGTAAAATGTCTAAYTTAACTATTAYGATATATACACTATATAAAACATAAAATGTATACTAAATAAATRTAGGTACCTTTAATCTAAGTATAAAGTCTATGATTTAATGCATAAATATTATAATCCAACCATAYAGATGCAATTTAAAACTTTGACTTATTGAAGCTAGACATTTTTCTCTAATGAAACAGATCAGTGAACGCTTTGCCTTCATGAGCCACTGGATTTTGCATACTGCCATCAAACAATATAATAAACCGTATTTTTTGGATGAGGTAAATATTGAGTATTGAAGTTTTCCAACCCCAAAAATCGAATTTAAATTCGATTAAATTAAAAATTAATAGAATAATCGAGGGATCTCTATTATTAAAATGGTATTAAATTGTAGGCATATACTTATTGCATTTATTTTARTTGTTGTCGTTAAACGGTGCAAATTAAAATGATATTGTTTCTGGCAATTAATTGGTTTTCGTGTATTCAAATAGTTTARTTAATATTCGATTAATCAATGAGTCTATATTGTTTTATGAATTGCTTTACATTATAAATTAATTTTTAATTTGTAATTAGGTACAAAATTCGAAGGAAACCCTTACAAAAAACATTTGTTCGATGACCTTCTAAGCAACTACAATCGGTTGATCAGACCAGTACAAAACCATTCGGAGAACTTGACCGTTTGGATGGGATTAAAACTCACTCAGCTAACCGAAATGGTAATGGGTGCGACGAYGGACAGTAATATAGTTAATTAATCATGTTRTGTATTTCAACACATTTTTCGTTTTTGTCTTAGAATCTCAAAAGTCAAGTGATGACAACGAGTGTGTGGTTGATCCAGAAATGGTTCGACTGCAATTTGAAATGGGATCCCAAAGACTACGGTGGCTTAGACAAGTTATACGTGCCTTCGGATCATATTTGGTTGCCCGACATAGTTTTGTTCAACAAGTAAAAATCGTTTACTTAATATTATATTATTTAATTCGTAAACATCAACGAAATTATATTATAATGATGTGCTAAAAATAACTTTGCACTATTTATCGTGGTTTATAAATCTTCATAAATAATTTTTTAGTCTTGTAATTTATTACGGCAATTGTTGCCAACGACCACACATAGACGTCTAGTCACCTAACCACAAACCAATCGTGGGTTGATAATAATATTTCGTTGACATTTGCTGTTTATAGTGTGTAAGTGTGTTCACAATATTTATACTGAAAATTCCAATCAAAATCCACATAGTAATTTGTGAATAACTGTGTAATGGAGGAGTACAGAATAAAATATGTATATAATTTTCATATATGCTATCGTATGATATGTATTTATATTTTCTATTGTTTATTTATTACGGAATGTTAGTTTGTCCTTGGATTTGTTTTTGTATATCAAGCTGTATATTAAACAGATTGTAAGTAACTATATTAGTAAATTATGAAGAAAATGTATATTCATTTTAATGCTACTACCTAAATTTGTCTCAACATAAAATTATACTACAATTTTATAGAAGTAATTACAATTATTACTGTATTATACATTTATACGGCTAAAACTATAGTAATATGTTTGAATAACATAAGTCCTAATTTGCTCTGGTGGGTGACGAGTATACCTAACCCTACAATAATTGATTTTTACATAATTACATAATATTAATTACCTATAATTTTATCAAAATGCGTTCGATTTAATATAATAAATATCATAAGTTAATCAAATGATCCAATTATGATGATAATTAGGTACTTTTTTTACCAGATATATTTAAATAGGTATATTATAGCGCACGCATTTATGTACGAATTTCRAGCGTAAGTGTGAAAGTGAGATTAATGTTTGTGTACCTCTATTAGATTATTGTTAAATATAAAATAATTATTAGGTATGCTATGTAAGTACGTAAACATGGTATATAAGTGGAGGTGGATTAAAAGCTGAGTAACAACGGATGATAAACAGTTATTACGATTTTACTCGTAAATCCGAGAAATTGAGAACTAACTAATAAAATTAAAAGTTTTATAAATTGATAAATAAATATTTTATATCTTTACTGCGCAGTGCCGACGGAAACTACGAAGTAACCCTGATGACAAAAGCGGTGCTCAAGTATACCGGCGAAGTATTATGGTCACCTCCAGCCATTTACAAATCGTATTGCGAAATAAACGTTCTATACTTTCCGTTTGACGAACAGAACTGTTATATGATGTTTGGTTCGTGGACGTACAACGGAAATCAGGTAGATGATCAATAATGTTTAAATTTTCACTATATTATTAAATCTCAGCTGATGCCGGTCTGGCTAATATAATTGTGTCCCTGGCACAACAATTTTCAACGGGCCCCTCTTAACAAAAAAAATAAATGCCTTTTGTCTAGGTTATTTTATTTTCCTCACACAAATAATATCAAAATACTATAACTAAAGTTTAATTTCATAAGCATGGTATTAATTATTATTGGATAGAATTATTTATGTTAAATTTACTTAAGTTAAAATAAATAAAATTATGTATAAGTACAGCTTTTTTAAAATATAATTTCACAGTTTGACAAAGTGAACTGCAGTAACTGTAATTCGACAGAGCAGTTTTTTTTAAATTTTTGTGAAATTGGTTTTTGGATTTTTTAAAAATTTTAAAATAGCCATTTTTTAGTTATATCATATATGTATATGATATGAAGAAAACACTAATTTTAAAATATTTTGAATTTTGAATGAATGAAATCAATTTATATTTAAAAAAAAAAACAATATTATATTATTGTAAAATTGTACGGTTTCAACAATTTTATAAGCTTGCTTATTTATAATCCAACAGGTAATAAATAACATACTAACATAGTACTCATTGATGATGTATGCATTTTTTTTTAATTGTTTATATAACACTGTTCAATCCATCTCCATCATTAATTGAACAAGTCAACCTTATTGGACCACGATTTTTGTTAAAAATTTGTCGTGTCGCTGAAAAAAAAAATACCTACACATTTTTTGATTATATAGTTTTAATTTTGTCACAAAAATCATCTATAAAATTATTGACCTATACATAGAAAACATGGTGGATATATATTGAACAATATTATAATAAAAAAATAAAAAATACTACATATAATTTCAACGACTAGCTTGTTATTTATTACCTATTGAATTAGCATTAGTTATGACTATTAAGAGTGTGAAAACCATGCATTTTATAGTTAAGTAATATTATATGCTTTTTTTTTTTTTTTTTAAATAAAAATCGCTTAATTCAACCATTTATTTGAAATTGTTTTCATCTCTACATCATAAATCAATAATTACAAAATGGCTATTTCAGAATTTACTATTTAGGCTTCTTGTCACAGTATTATTAATATAAGATTATTTATTAACTATTAAATATTACATTAAAAAAATCGTGAGAATACTGAGAATCGAGCGAGTAAACTTATTTTTTTCCTATTTGGCTAGAACTCGGGCTTCCAATTTATAAAAATATCTAAGGATCCCGGGTGATCGACGAGTAGCCTAGCCCCGGCCAGACCWCCACTAATTCCAACTGACAAGTTAGATTAACCGTACTTACCCTTTTGCTATATAAATAATATACAGGTAGACTTGAGGCACATTGATCAATCGCAAGGCAAAAACCGCGTGGACGTTGGCATCGATCTGAGCGAATTCTATCTATCTGTGGAATGGGATTTACTCGAAGTCCCTGCGGTCAGGAACGAAGAGTTTTATTCTTGTTGCTCAGAATCGTATACAGGTGAGTTGAAACATTTTAAACGTTATCGAATTTTTTCTCGCAAGCCTTGCTGCACTTGTGAATATTATCAAAAACGCGATGACATTATTTTTTATTATTTATATRTTATATGCATATACGACTCCTATATTATGATTTATACCGTAAAATATGTATTGCAGACATAATTTTATGTATCTACTATATTATGTATGCATATTTTTATMCTATGACGATTCGTGTATATGGTTATGACTTATGACTTTATGAGTTATATATTTATATATTTATGACATATGGCAAGTCGTYTGGACAAATGATTACTGTACACCTAATACCTATATACGATATATCTATGTATTTAATATTGTGCACAGCTTGCGCCAAGACAACATATAAGGTAGGCACCTATACTGGCTATACTATATTTGAGAAACATTAAGTTAGGTAGGTATATTATATTTGTATGTAAAATATAATACAACTATAATAATATGAACATATACTGAATAAACCTTTTATCTATGTATGTATAAGTAATATATTATAATAATATTATGCCTTGCATCGTAAACGGAATAATACGTGATTAAACGTTCAACATTAAGAACAACTTTCGCTGTCCGAACAAAACAGTTAGGTACCAATATTGCAGTAGTTTTCGTTGGAGTCTTAGTCTTATATTTTATCATTGGCCAATTAACCTTAAATGGATAAAATATATTTAATTTTAAAGAGTAATATTGTGCCATCAATAATGGCTGTGCGTTTTTTTTATCAGTAGTACCTATGCCAACGTCAACAGAAAGTATAGGACGTAAAAAATATATACACAACATTGTCTAGAGTCTAGACAAAAAATAATAATAATAATATGTATAGGTAAATAATAATATCATATTTGAACTTTACAGGTAAATAAATATTAATAATATGTTAGGTTCTGCACCGACTGAATTAATATAATAAATCTGTGTTTACGGAACAATGTATAATATGTATAATATTATGTAGACCTTAAAATTACATGTTTTATTTTTTAATATACGATACAAAATATCTCATTTTATTATCACGAATTATTATATTTTATGACGTCCTAATATTTTGGTAAAAGCTTGATTATTATGACCAATGCGTCATCATGATAATTTAATGACATTTTTGGTGTAGGTTGGCGTATTGACGTACAGTTGGGCAGGAGATTAAATTGATAAACTTATTATCAATTATTTTCAATAATCACGTACTGTTTGAAACAAATATACATGATTTTGATAAAGCAAGAAACCAATACTATATAGATAGAGAGTATAATTTTATTATATTCAATGAGTTTAAATACTTATGTATTTCATTGTTTGGTTTTTAACTAAGGAATGATAAATGATTGCATTTCTTTATTGGCTATATTATACCTATAACAATATTAATATTTCCAGTTGTCGTATTAAAGTAAAACTCAATACCGATGTACAGTAAAACAGCATGAATAGGTTCGTGTTATAATCAGCTAAAAATTAATCTAAATATTTTAAAAACTTCATTATATATACCTACTATGTAGTAAGTAATAAGTTACTTATACGTAATGGTGAAAAGCCTCTTCTGAAATTACCATTTTTTTAAATTACAAAATAAAACTTGTWGTATAATGTAAAATGTTCAAGCTTTTTTTATTAGAACACATACATTTTTTCAAACATTTAAAATAAAAATGTTAAAAATTAGAAAATTTCAAATGTACATATTATATAGAGATTAAAATTTTTCTTGATATTTTGACTATAATTTACAAAAATAAGTTTTTTTTATATCCTAGATTTTATTACATACGTATATGTATATCTATAATGGCATATGGCACAGTTAAAAAGTTTATTTTTAATTTACTAGGTACGCCTCAATAATACCTATATATCATAAATATTTCAGTTATTAAATAAGATTGACATCGTAGCTACTATCACTCATTCTACACAGGGCTGGATTTGTAATATAYATGGAGGCACTTTTATCGGGCAGCAGATGCTTGGTGCATCTAAAAGCCGGGATACTAAAAACAAAAAAAATTAAAACTTTTTGAACTTCGGTTTAGGAAATTTATGGAAATAACAATTCCCAAAAATAAATATTGATTTGTATTTATATAATTTGTGCTGAAAAATAAATATTTCAAAATGTCACGTAACAACAGAATGGTATATTGTAGCGTCCAGCAAACACAAAATATACTAAATTTTACTCTTCAAATTATTTAGGTTTRATAAAATTAATATAATATTTCTAGCATTAAATTAATTTTAAAATTTGTGGTACTCGAATATCAGTATTTCTGATTTCAAACTTAAAATAAACATTTTGACCTTTTTGATGTGAATGCAATACTTGCGTATTAAATTAATTCTGGGACACAAGTATGGTATATGGATCATCTCAATGTACCAACTAATTTAAAATTGTTTCCAGAAACCATATTTCTAATGTAAGAATTTTTCAGACATAACTTTCAACATAAAGATGCGACGGAAGACTTTGTTTTACACGGTTAATCTGATCATTCCGTGTGTCGGACTAACATTCATGACGGTATTGGTGTTCTATTTACCGTCTGACTCTGGGGAAAAGGTAATAAAAATAAATAAATACGTTTAACTGAAGCGTATTTGCCGCAATTTTAGAAGAAAAAAATGTTTGAAATCAAAAATATCATATTGGATTATCGAAATCGCTATTATACCTGTATACATTTTATACGGCACATCAACTATRGTCACATTCTGGGAACTTTTTTGTATAAATCATGAATTCTTAACTTAATAAGACCGTTTAAAATGATATAAATTCAATATTAATTAAATAAGCAAAACATATCATATATTTAATATAATTTTGCCAATTTTGGTAATTGGTATATTGGATATAAATAATGCTTTATCCTAGGATTTACCAAATCTCGTTTGTAAAAGTCCGAACTACAAAAATCATTCGTGGTTTGACCAAACGATATTGTGTATCCTAGGTTTAACCGGTATTCGTACTTTTACCGTAACATATATACAATGCATTACTGTTAGCAAATAACAATAAATAATAATATATATAGTACACGAAGAAATGTATTTAATTTTGTATAGAGTAAAATTTTACGGATATTCAGTTAAATATATTAAAAATAACTTACCCTTAATACCGCCGCGAAAGATCACTGATACAACAATTTGGTCTTTTTATATAATTCAGGTGACTCTGTGCAGTAACATACTAGTGTCGTTGACTGTGTTCTTCTTGCTGCTAGCCGAGATCATCCCCCCGACGTCTCTGGCCGTTCCACTCCTCGGAAAGTACTTGTTGTTTACCATGGTTCTAGTGTCCATGTCGATCGGCATGACCGTGGTCGTGTTAAACATCCATTTCCGGTAAGCGTGCGTTTTCCGCGAATAGGTGTCATCGCTCTATATATTATATTACGTCAGGAAGTGCCGTTTTAACTAAATCGAATCGCTTATAAAGGTCACCATCAACCCATACCCTGTCGCCTTGGGTAAGAACTGTGTTTCTGCACATGATGCCACAGATACTCATGATGCGCCGACCACCGTATTCGCTGATGACCAACGACGGATTCCAAAGCTCACCGGGTTACTTCAACGAACTGGACTACAGGTATCTGGTCCACTCACAGATTTTACACGCTGTTAGACATAATATATACTTAGTTATTTTTTTAAAACATTTTAATCGATAATATCATTGCGAATACGCAGTCCCATGTTTAGACTATAGTCATTACTTATTATACGATAATGTATTATAATTCACAGTCGAGACAGCATAAGCGATAGCGGTGGAACCGAACAGAAACCTCCATCTCTGACCCAGAGACACTGGTCCTTCAAAAAAATTCAATCGGTACAGCCTCACAATTATCGTAAGTCATTATTCAATAATTTAATGAATRTATTAAATAGTATAGCTACCGATACCTGTAGTTTTATTTATTTATTTCTCAGTATTTGTGAAAATTATTTATAAATACTACGTAATATGGCATAGATATTATTTTATAATTATTTAGTCTATTATATATTATAAACGTAGTACCTATATGCTCATTATATTATTATGACATGTATTCGACTAATGAAGAATAATTATATTTCTTTAGCGGAGAATGTAATGCCAAAGACAATGTCCCCAGATCTACTCAAGGCTTTACAAGGGGTCTGTTATATTGCTCAACATATCAAAGACGCAGACAAAGATAAAGAGGTAAATTGATAGCATATAATAATCAAATATTAATTTAATTATACATTGTATAATATTCAAATAGGTTAATGGTTTTTATTAATTTCAAGTTGTTTAATGTTGGTATAATAGGTATAGACACGTGAATTGAATATTAATATTTATAATATTATGTATGTAAGTGCAATAATACAAATAACTGTGTAGGACGTGTAATATACCTATAATATAAATTTAAAAAGATTAAAACAATTATTGACATCAATATTATTATTACCCCTTTTAATTTATCTTAATTCTACCTACCTACAAAATAAAAATATAAATATAAACCAGCAATTATTAAATTCTTAAGACCATAATATTCATAAAAGTAATGAAAATTTTTATGATTCAAACCAATAAGTTATGTAGTTAATCACATTCCGATTCCACTTTGCCTATATTTAATTTATTATTGTTTAATTCAAATTTGATAATTATTCTTAATGTATTCGAATCGTACAAGTACATTGTCTTAAACAAAAAAA